CACTCACTGAGCATCACTCTTCACAGATCATCTTTCCTAGTCCTCCCCCGGGTTTCGGTGATGGAGGATGGATCTCGGGAAAAATTGCTGAGAGGATGATCCGCGAGTGTACGACACCGTCCGCCGTGATGCGAGCTTCGGCTCCGACGTCCCTGATCCTTCGCAACGAGTCGTTGGCTTGCTCGGTCGACGAGTAGGTGAGGATGCGAGTGGCTTGCAGCTACGGACCCGAGCTGGATCAACTCCAATTTTCCGACACCTTGCGATGGCACCTGTCCCCGAAAATTGTTTAGCAATCGTTTTGGCTCCGCTCCAAGGGCGACAGCGAATTGAGAGCAGATACCCCTCAGCACACGGAGTCAAACCACTCCCGGCGGTTGCAAACTGAACGAGAATCTTTCCAAGCGGACCTTAATCCTCTCCCATGGCTTCCTACGGCCGCGGCGCGAGGAATCTCACGGACAGTCGGTGCCAGGCTCGGACTCTGGAGGAGAATGGGAGCCACCCTACAATACGCAGGGAAAGCTCGAGATATAGCTGGTAGCAAGATCCGATCGTGCTCGCTTCCTCGCGACGCACCGTCAATGTGCTTAAAGCCGCATATGACGCGCAATACGCTCTGACCGCCTGGCAATCTCAGGAATCCGACACCTGGTGATCAGTGAAATCTCCCGCCGGTGTGGATCCGCCCGAAACTGGAAAACTACAGAATCGAAGATTGTAGACTCCAGTATCCCTCGATTTTCCGCTTCGGGCAATCGGCACACAGAATGGAGGAATCCCGGCTCCCCGATAAACTCGAATGTCGAGAGCGGTTGATCATCCACGTGCGGGGCTGTCTTCCTATTATTTACTATTTAACCTTCAGATCCGCCTCCGAGCTTGGAGTCTTCGCTAGGTTTCTGCGTGGAATTTTTCCCCACTCACTCGGCGCGAATCCAGCCCTGACCGATCCCTCGCTCTGTAGCTCGAGATCCCCGCTTTCCCCGTTGACAAGCCGCGTCAGCGTCTACGGTCGCTCCCTCCGTGTCTCGTCGGCGCAGGTTGAAGACTTCGCTCCGACCAATGGTGTCGGGTCAGGTGATGAGAGGGTCGACGGTCGCAACTATCACAGCCCTGGGGCACATCAAGCGGAGCGATTAAATTGCAAGCGGTCTTCTCGCGCCTCTCTCGAACGAGCTCTGCTCAGACTTCATCATCGATGAAAAACGTCTTCCATGCGACGAGTTGGGCCTCGATACTCCGGAACGGCCAGGCAATAGAGGACGTGATTTATTGAGGAATGCATACGTGGGAGCTCTTCCCAGGGCTTCCTGTTGATCTTATCGCTTTCAGGAAGAGAAAGCGATTTTTTTACACATGTGTATTTTTATTCTGCCTGGAATAGCTTTTTCGTCTCCTATTCTGATATTAGAGGAATAATAAATAATTTCCCGTCTCGACCTCTGCTCAATGAGGAATCGGCTTCGTAGTTCCTTCTAAGGCTCTGTTTAGAGCCGGTCTCCCTTCGCTGGTCGAGAGAAGCTGGGGGCGGGTGAATGTGAAGCCCCTTCTCGGCCTGGAAGCCCCCGACCGTGGCTCCGGTGGGCCCTCTCCCATCCGCTCTCCGGCTCCCCGTAGCAAAACAAGCCGATCTGCCGAACCGCCCGGAGTTTCTCCCGGACAGTCGGACGGAACAAAGCCGTTGTTTGAGCGTTCGTGTCGGAGTCAGTGCGTGTCTCCATGCGAAGTCCCCTACCTCTCGGAACTTACCGTTATGTGAACTCTGGGAATAAATCGTCGGATATCTCGGTAAGGTCAGCTAGATGCGCACAATGTCCGGTGGCGACGCATGTTCCGTCGCCCCGCTCCCAACAAGTGTTTCTTCCTTCCCATCGAGGGAGGGAGTTGTTGACTTCTTAGAAAATCATCAGCTGCACATCTTGGTGTAGAAGCCGCCCTCAGTCGTAAAAATGACCTTGTTCTGCAGCTGGCGTGAGCTCGAGAAGACGAGAAAAGGAGAGAGGTTCCTTGCCTTAGCTATTCTTTACATTCTGTCGGTCTGTCAGTCATTCCGGACGTCAATTCGTGTCGCTGTCTATCTGGATGTTCGGGAAATCTTCCGTAGAGCGCAATTCGAGAAGAGAATGCCCCCGGAGCATTTCGGAGACGGGTTGCTCTCTTCTAGCTCGTGCCGATATCTATCGTCCACAGACCAGCCGAACACTCTATCGAACCGCTGTACGTCTCATGAAAGAGTCGGTTGCGTGCAGGCCCTGCAACATGTCACTTCTCCGACCGCATTGTCTGGGCCTGCTTGTCTGTCTCTTTCCATTCGTCTCTTAGGCATCGCCAGTTTTTCTGTCTTAGCCCGGTCGAGACACGCAGAGCGGATCTCTCCGAAGGGAATCGACGGGCAGTTACGTCGGTCGCGACAACCACGCGCAATTCGACGAACCGTCCCGCTTTTTCGGGCCAGGCCCATCCCGGAGAGGGTTCTCATCGAAAACCATCTGCAGGAAGTCGGACGTTTTCTCGAATTTCCGCGCATGCGAGGAAATTCGTGGAACGAGTCTACCAGGACGCTCGCGCAGATCGGGAGGCTTTCCCGGACAACTCGAGTCGTGCGACGGAGAGCTCCGAACGATGGTCACGCCGATGGTCGGCGTTCTCCGATACTGGAATCGCGGCTGTTCCTTCCGACGATTTTCCTGACTCAAACCGGGAGCAAAGTTTCGTCTCCGCGTCAAGCCAGGTCCGCAGCCCTAGATTCTGCGATCTCAGGGTCTGATGAGGACTCCGATGAGTAGCCGGGTCCTGATCGCGGGCTGAGAACGTTACACAGACTCCAGCAATAATTCTCGAAGAAAAGCTAGTCGAAAAAGGTCGTGAGTCGAGGGCGATGGTCTGATGCAGGGCTTCCTCCGGAGGGCTCAGCAGGGAGGCGTACGCTTGTACCGTTGTGCGATCGCCTACCTGCTGTCGAATCACTCAGATCATCCGTCCGAATTGTAGGCGTTCCGCAAGGGTCAGGACCAAGGCTCCGATGCTGCTCCTGCGAGCACGGTGGCGCTCCAGTCCGGAGAAACAATTTTCTCCGGCTACCACGGGGACAGCTCCATCGGTCGACCGGAAGGCACACACACACCGGCGAGGAATATAGAGGAAAAACACAGAGCCGGACCCGACCACTGTTGATTCGTGTCTCATGTGGCGGCACGTACACCTGCCCCATCAGTCGCGTGATCTGGCCCGCTTGCGAGATCATCTGCCGTAAGGGCCGCCAGCTTTCCTGGCAGCCATGAGCGACGCCGTTCGATAGGCAGCCTGAAAGGTCGTCTCTTTTTCTTCTCCGCCTGATTCGGTTTGTTCACCCGCTTGCGTTCTACGTAGTACAATGATCGTCGAACGAGTAGCCCTTGAAACGCAAAAACTCCGCACGACCTCAAATCGAAAAATTCAACCGGCAGGCTCACGGTTGCCGTACACGTCTCCGCTGTCCTTGGACCCCGACCAGGGTTTATTTTCATCATGGGCTCGATCTCTGAGTGATTGGCTTTTTTTTTATTGTTCGACTTCGGCTCTCCTCTCGTTAGCGCCCTGGCCGGCCGGTGGGCGCTTCCTCTGTCGCCGATGTACCCCTCTACCGGGGTCGCAGATGTGTCTCGGAAGACGCAAGCCCACGGCGCACCGTGCGCCTCCTTCATTTCTCGGCCCGGGGTATGTTGTAGAGGAGCAAGCGGCGAAAAGAAAGAGTTCATCGGGAAATTATTTAACACTCCACTGCTTCGTCTCCGCTGCCGTCGGCTGTCGGCGTAAGTCCGACGGTGCGCGACGTCGGAGCAGCTTGTGAGGAAGAAGATATTCGCCCGATGAAAGACAGCCTGCGCTCACAGGCTCTGCCGCCCTCCCTAGGGTGCTTTATTCCTTGTTCGGTGACTAGACAGTCGCATTGCGTCGGCCGGCTAGCCCGTCTGCTCGCCTGCTCGCCGAATTAGGACGAAACAAGCGAGAATTACTGATTGGTCTGTTGATTGTCCCCGGGCGTCCCGAAGAGATTGCCACTGGGAGAAGTAATATCAATCAGCTGCGAGATGCAGTCGCGGCTTCTGCTTCCGACATCTCTTCGTTCTCTTCTGCGAGTAACGAGCGCTAATTTTGATGATTGACGTTCCCGATCTTTGCGACCGCCGCGCCGGAGCGTCGCTCCGACGTTGCTCTGAATTGCGAAATCCGAACCAAGAGAGCGTCGCTTACCTGCGCTCGACATCTCCCTTCCAACCCTAACAAAATCTTTACGATCTCTGAGCCTTAGTCGGTTTCCTCGTACCTCTGAGCTCCACGACCCCAGAAAGGCGTTCCGTCGACCGACGATTTAATTGCGGCGCTTCAGAGCCGCTCTTGTGACGTCGCGGTTTCGGCAGTGCTATCAGAATACGGCCGCTTCTGGGAGGCTCTCCTAAACCGAGAGTAAAGCAAGCGCATTCTCTGGTCGGAAGAGAACTTTCGTGTCTGCCGACGACGGAACTCGACTAGTCGACGAGCCCAGTGATAACAGCGAACTTGATGTTTGGAGCTCACCGACGTTGACAGAGACAGCTCGCCACGTGCGGGGGAGGATGATCTATTGTTTCGCCGCTCGAAATTCCGCCGGCGGGAAAATTCGTCCCGAAGCAGAAAATCCTCTTTTTGAGGCGGATGGATCGCCGATGTCGTCGAGGCTGCGATTCTGACGGATCCTCTCAAAGGGCTCAGATCGTGGAGGGGAGAAAACGCGTCCGGTGTGCTTTTTGGCACTCGGCGCTTTCACTCACTCGAAGATATTCCGAGACTCACACCTCTCCGTTCTCTGCTCGCTCGCAGGAATTATGCTCATTGATTCGCGGAAAATCCCCTCTGAATCAAAAAACTGAATCATTGATGAGGAAAGAAGAAGGGACTCAGCGACGTCGAGAATGACGCCTGAGACGAAACAGGAAAAAAAATTCTCAAGCCTCAATTTTTTTCTCCTTCCAGACACTATGGTACAGACGCGCTCCCAAGTCGAAGTAACAGCCGTGCGGCCGGTGCAGGTGGTCAGACCGATGAAAAGGACGTTAACTCAGCGTACGGTGGTGGCTCTCGACGAGAAAGACACTGCTGCCGCCACCGTCATCTCGAACGACAAACCTGGGAATGGCGCCAACCACGCGGATAATGAGCTTAGCTCACAATCGGTATTTCAAACAAAGGTGGTTTGGTTTCCGAACGTAGCGGTGTTCGTTGTTCTGCATTCACTGGGCCTGTACGGCGTCTACTTGGCGTGCGTGAAAGCCAAATGGGAATCGTGGCTGTTCGCCGTCATTTGGGGAATTTCCGCAGGTCTAGGGGTGACGGCCGGCGCTCACAGACTGTGGTCGCATAAGTCGTACAAGGCGCGGACGCCGCTCCGAATTCTGCTGATGATTTTCAACTGCATGGCTTGCCAGAACGACATCCACGAATGGTGTCGTGATCACAGAGTTCATCATAAATACTCGGAGACGAACGCGGATCCCCACAACGTGAATCGAGGCTTCTTCTTCGCGCACGTCGGCTGGTTGATGTGCAAGAAACATCCGGACGTAATCCGTAAAGGCGCCTCCGTCGACTGCACCGACATTCTCGAGGACCCGGTGGTGCGCTTCCAACGGAAATTCTATGTTCCCCTCACGGCGTTCTGGTGTTTCGCCGTCTCGACGATCTTGCCCATGCTGATGTACGACGAGAGCCTGGACGTGGCGTTCTTTTCCTGTACAATGGCCCGCTACGTGATCTCTCTCAACTTCACCTGGCTAGTGAACAGCGCCGCACACTTGTGGGGGAACAAGCCGTATAATAAGTGGATTTCCCCCGTCGAGAATACGTTCGTCACGTTGGCGGCCATAGGCGAAGGCTTCCACAATTTTCATCACACTTTCCCTTTCGACTACCGGACGAGCGAGTTTGGTATGAAGCTCAACCTCACGACGGCGTTCATCAACCTGATGGCCAAGTGCGGCCAAGCCTACGAGCTCAAAACGGTTTCGAATGACGTCATAGAGAAACGATCTCTCCGAACGGGTGACGGGAGCCGCGGTCAGCGGACTCGCGACTAGATCGCCCCATAACAGGGTTGCTATTCACTTAGCGGAAAACAAAAAACGTCGGACCGTCGGCGTCGCTCTCGACGGATACACACAAGGGAGCAGTGAGGAGAAGTCGCAGAACTGCATGCGCAGGACATCCGGAGCAAAACTGGCCGCAGGTGTGCGGAGTTTCGGCTGAGGAAGGAGAAATATATTTGTGAGAGACGAGACTCGAGAGAATATTCGGGGAATTCCATAGGTGTGTCCCCGATAGACGACTGAAAGAGATTCGTACAATCAAACGGAACGACCGGCACCGATTAATTTATTATTTCCTTTATTTATTCATCAGATACCTATTCTCGTCATGATTGCATTTATATGATAGCGCACCTATTCCTCTCCCATATCCATCCCAATCAAAGTAAGTCGCCGTTACGACGAGGTGAGGTTTCCGGCGCCGAAACTTTGCTCCCTCCGAAAGGGAATCTCCACCCTCTTCCGCTCGCACCCGCCTTTAGAGACGGTTCCACGCGTTAATGGAGCATTCCTATAGAATACCGCGATATTCGTGCGACGGAAGGGTCTCGGATAATACAAATGGCATCGCAACTGTTGATTTTCCTCCGCATATCCGTCACCTGATATTGTTCCAAAGCTCATTTACTATTCCCCAGTATATTCACCATTCATTCGCCGTTCGTCAGACGCTCGTTCGGTCGCTTGGTGAGGAGCCGGTTCGTTCGAGACTTTCGATTATTATTCGAGATTTCGAATTCCACAAAATGCCTTTGTCGACTTTAGTCAATTGTTGCAGCCTGAACACGATATTGTTGGTAACTCGGTGTTTCGGAGACGGAATGGAGCCAAGCTCCATGTTTCGTATGACTCACAATCAGATAAGTCAGAAGCCGCTCCGACGGGGGACCGATTCCTCTGGGCGCCTCCACAGGGGTCAATGCGAGATGGGAAAGCCTGGAGTCCGTAATCGAAGCATTCTCTTGAGGATTTCTGTACAGAATACCGTCGGGTGACCCTCATGATGTTGATACACCCGACAAGCATGTGCATCGGTTCATGTGAGATCAGACCCCGGCTCACTATGAATAAAAGTGATGTTTCGTGAAAGTCTCATCGTCTTCAATCGATTCCTGCCATTTCAGATCTTCTACGAGCTGGAGTACAACGAATTGACGAAAAGGCGAACAGGGCACGGGGGAGGCACGTGAAGGTTGCCCCCAATCGAGCTGAAAAGACTCTCACGACCTCGAGAGTGCCCCATCTCTCTCGAGAGAGACTCGTCTACCCCTCCGACGCCTTTTCACGTTTCCTAGAGCATCGCCGCGTCGATTCCTAACATCTGCTTGTAGGAGGCTTCGCAACCTGTAGGATCCCGAAACCCTGATCTGTGTCGAACCCGCGATTGCCATTCGAACCCGGGGTTCGGGATTTTTCTCGGCAATCCAACAATATGTGACATCAAAGAATTTTCGAATCCAACAGAGCTGACCCGAGTGCATCGTACGTCAATATAAGCGAGGCAACCTTGCCAAGTCGCACCGGACTGATCATTCAAAATCCCTAATGAGCACCAAGATCCCGTCCGGGAGCGATTCGCGCGAGCGACCCGAGGACGAGGCCCCAGAATTTCCCCTGGGGCATGTCGGGAAGCGTGTGCCCTCCGGCACCACAGCTGTTTCGTGAACATACAGAAAATGTCGAGCTGCTCTCTCAGAGACCGAGTTCCCAGGCCGCATTGCGATATTTCATTCTCCATCTGTAGCCGCTACATTCAGTAGGAGAAGACGATGTAATACTCTCATACGGAGCAGCAGCATGATTTCTAACAGCGGGAGCGATCACATATTACTGTCAAAGTCGTCGACGCCTAAGACCTTCCCGACGCCGACGTAGAGCTCTCTCCGAGGTCGATTTGGAGAATGAAAAACTGATCCGAACTCAGACCCGCTCCCCGGACTTCTCGGATTTTTGAATTCCTCCTCGATGTGGAACTAGCAGGGAGAACCTCGGAGGAGGGAGCGGATGCCGCATGGCATTCGGGGGGACAACTCTGGAGCTCCCCATGAATTATCCTCTTGCAGATGAGATTCGTCGCCGTTCTCCAGACTCCGGGAAGAGCTTTCTTCCCCGAGTCCTTCCTTCGAAGTTTTCGTGAGATGAATCTCGCTCGTGCCAACTTGCGGGAGTTCCGGACGCTTCTCTCGGCTGGAAATGTTTTACCCGCAGGAAATCGGAATCCTCCGTTATGACCCAAAAGCCTCGGATTTACTACCTTGATCCCAGCTGGCAATCTTAGCAAGTACTCGCGGTTCGGAGTCAGGGCAGAATGCCGAATTATTCGCTTCGCCCCAAGAGAGCCTCGTCGGACACCCTTAAGATACCGTCACAAACATGCATGAGAGTGCGGTCACGGCTTGACCGCACCGCCGCGAGGACGAACCGCGGTTGAAACCCGCGCCGAAGATGATAAAGCAGAAATCGACACTCCATTCTAGGCGTGAATTTCTTCCTTAAAAGCCACTACAATGATTCATTACTCGAGTCTGAGCTCAGAAGAGCAGAAAGGAAGAGCTCTTATTTCCTTTCGATCGCACGATGCAAACTGGGGAGTTGAAGAGGTCTGTGTGCTCGCCGAGTGGAGCGCGGAACTCATCGCCATGATAGGAGACCTCAGAAAAGAGGGGCAGGCACCCTGAGAGCCGCCAGCCAAGAGAAGGCACAAAGCCATCCGCTCGAACAGAGGACTTCGCTCCGGGAAGCGCGGAGGTGACGGCTATTACTGTCGAGTGGCCGTTAGAGCAACGGGAAACATTCAAGGCTGAGACACTCAGACCCGTGATGAAATCCTTCCGTCGAATTCTCGGACAATAATGGCTTCTAGTTGCGAGTCCTCCGGGCCATTGCTCGTTCGCCGGATCCACTGTGCATCCTTCGATCGGTGGGCCGACGGCGATGGTCTATTCCTTCGGTGTTGGGTTTGATGGTCCATGGAGCCGATATGGGACCTTGCGTCCCGAGAGGTTGCGTCCGAATCCACGCGAGACAGCAAAATTTTTTGCCGCATGAGGGAAGCTTAACCAGATGAGCTTTATCTCAGGTCAGGGACCGACTGAAAAGGTCGTCGGCGCGTCTTGCGATTGCTAAGCAAACCTAAACTTCAATTATTCATGCAACGACGCTGCTCGAGCAATTCCCCCGAGGCTTTCGATGGAGGAGGGGGTTTCGTTGAGGTTTTCGCCAGCGAGACTTTCGATACAAGCTTCGGGAAATTCTCCTCGAATCACGCACCTCGCGACCGAGGAACATACACTAGGATGTCGTTGCGAAGATCTTCGCAAAATCATGCGAAATAACATGAGAAATCCGTTCGCTGCCATGGACATTCGCGGCAACGAGTGTTCTCCATCATTATTTCTGTGGTAAGCCAGCCAAAGGGCAAGGGGAGAGAGTGTTCGTTGTACTGAGAACTCGTCATCACCGAATTCCACTCTCTGCTCAGATCCGAGGCTTTATTGACTGAGAATCATATCAGGGAATCCCGGGTGTGAGTGTCGACTTCGGTGTTCAGAAGGGGGAGTCCTTCCTCTCTCTTCTCGTCTCTCGGAGTGCTTGAGGGGAAGCGAGCTGGATATCATATGCTGGAAAGTTTCGTTCGTGACTGCTTTCCATTAGACGACTCTCCAGGATCACGGCTGACGGCGAGGGGATCCGAGCGTCTGGGAGCAGCTGTGCCTCTCTCGGAATCCGGGATCTCCAATAAATTGCTCGAAGGAGCTCCGTCCCGGGGAGGCGCTCCCCCGACCGTCCATCCCGGACGGACTGAGTCTGGAAAGCACTCTCAGGAGTCTCGCCTTGGCGGCCCGATCACCGGCAGGACAATCGCCGCACTTTGCAATAATCGGCGAGGGAAATTCTCTCCGAACGTTCGGAACTTCGGAGACAGAGATCAGTTAGATGCGTCGAGCGCTTTTCCTACCTCCAGCGAGAATAAGGGCGGTAGAGCTCCACTCCGGATCTGCTTACAAACGAAATTCCGAGCGAAATCTGTTGCCTTTGAGAAGGTTTTCGGGGCGGCGGCTCATTGGGCTGCGGAGCGATTCGAGATATCGCGATCTCTTTCAAACCCTGTGCGAATTATACTGCTGGACGTTCGGAGCATCGCCTGCTTCTACACCTCGTGATATTGCTTAGGCCCCTGCGACACTCGATTTGCTCCTCTGTAGGCGAATACTCGAGTTCTCCGCCTTCCCTCGATCATCTGAGCACTCGTCTTTCGGATGAATCGACACCTCCTCTCTCCCAACCGTTGAGCTCCCATTCCGAGTGTTGTATCCGCAGTCCTAGGGCTCGGATCGATGGCCACGAGGCGGAGCACGGCGCAGCTGTTGCCAGGAGAATCGATTCCGGCAACGTGAATCATCATCAAGATAATTTCAATTCTTCTCCATCCGATCGCGCACAGGTGGACTGGTGGGAAGCCCGTCTGGGGGCCTCTGACTCGTGGAAAAGAGTCCGCAAGAGAGACTCGCCTTCGTTCTTGCTCCCTACAGTCCTATTGCGCAATGTCGACGGAGTCCCTAAAAATCGTGTTGTTGCCCCGTAAGCCGAGTCGCCGACAGGAGCAATAAGCGTTTGCTCCCGATTTCGACTTAGCTGATTTGAATATGCGCATCTGATTATCCTGTATTCAACCTCGCCCACGGCAGGTACATCTGAGCTCTCCCGGTCATTGGACCAGATTCTACAGTGCCATCGCCCACGCCTTCGGCGTGGTCTCGCTTCGATCTCCAGTCAGGAGGGTTCTGTTCTTTCGAGCTTGTAGCTGTCCGTGTGCACCGAATGCCCGCCCACGCATTTCGTTCATGCTAGGCGCTCAGCCTCCTGTGTCGACTACTCTGGTCTCGAAAAGCACGCTCAAAGCTCTTGTACCCTCCCCCCGTCGGTCAACCTCTGTATCGACGCAGATACGACCTGTCGCCGCGTCTAGAATATAGCTGCACATGATGTCCCATGTTGGCCTCAGTCAGTCACAGCGCGTTCGCTTGCCGCTCGCCAGTTGCAAGGAACAACTCTCTGATGGATGATCGCTCGTGTAATTGCGGCAGCGCATCGGTGAGGGATAGCGATCAGTGGTTCGCAAGGTCGAGGCGACAAATCGGGAGCACGAACTCGTCTGATGTTGAGACTCAAGCTGACAGAGTTTCGGCCCATTAAGAATCACCACAGGATCTTCCGAGCCCGACGGATTCCGCCACCGTGACTGGCTCATTACCCAGTCCGCTGACCGAGTTTGCAGTCACGGATGAACGATTATCCGCGATGGGAATCGGAGCTCTTTCGGTATTTGCGGAAGGATCCTCCGGAAACGTTCGCTGGTACGGGGGCTTGGATAAACGCGATACGGTTGTTCCTGAGAGGGAACACAATCGAGACAACGAGACATGTCGCAATCGTCTCCTCGAGCATCGAGTATCGAGGAGGAACCAGAAACCATGTCCCGGTTCCGTAGTCCGGTCTTCGTCGGGCCGTTCCTCCGCAGCCTCCTCGATCCCCCGGATCGCCTGTTGCGGAGTAATATATCCAATATTATGGTCCGATCCCTCAAATGCTACAGTCCTGGACGAGGAACGAGATCGATTGGCCTTACCGATGACCTGAGTGAGCCCCCCGTTCCCGTTTGCTATCTTAACCGACTATTGCGTCTAGAAAAGTTGTTCTCTGACAGGAGCCGACCGACTGCCATGGTGAAGCGATCGACTCTATGTCATTCCTGATATGAAACCAAACCCTCGACAAGTCGCCTTGAGCGTGCCACAAGGGGAACAGTATGCGCCGCTCGCGTTGTCCGGGCTGAGAGCCTGAGACTGCGCGGAGATTTTTTTGCCTGGCTTCCACTTCGACGTTGGCCGCGGGGCCAGGTTTCTCGGTACAGCCAGTAAATCTTTCTCTAACTTTCGGGAACAATAGTCGACATGGCGCACGACCCTCTCCGAAGTCCTCGACCGCACTTGGGACTTGGGACCCCTTGCAATGTCATTGCGGAAGTATTAGTCGGTGGCTCGGCCAGACGCCAGACGAATACGATTTTCCTGTTTCTCTTCCAAAAGGCCCTCTCAGTACACTGAGGAATTCTGACGAAAAGGGGCTGGTCGACAGTCTTGCGAGCTGTATCAAAAAATATATTTCCTCACAGGATCGCCACATAATTAAATGACCGCCGGGACTCTGGGAGCGGGATCTGAGACCGCCAGGGAATCCCAGGTCGTCCTCTCGGGAAGCCCCGTTTTAGACCATTGCTCGCGCATAGAGCATCTTGTGTACAAAATGTCTGCCGACGACTTTTCTGATACGCATGAATATTGTCAAGTGGTTCATAAATACATATGTACATGGTATCTCGATCGTAAGCTCAACTTCTTGAACTCTAATGGTCTCCAAGATGTAGCCGAGACTCTGAACTTTTCCCTCCGCCGAGTCGGAGAGTTTCTTCTCATCAAAGTTTCGGCAGCCTGATACCTAGATTGAGGAGCACAAAACCTTCGAGTCTCCCTCAGCCTTTTGACTCTGCGTGCAGTCACGGCGCCGGCGGCAGGAAAAAGTGATACGAGCTCCGAGACATACTTTCACGAACGGAAATTCAGCCGAAGGCGCTGACGGGACTTTCAACTCATTTAAAATCCCTCTCGCTCGAATAATAAGGTCGCGAAGCTCGAAAGATTTTCAAGCTCATTCGGCTGATCGTCTCATGGGGATTTTCCATGAAATAATTTGCTCCAATTAATGAAGGAAATGTGGCTTGTAAGGACTACATGCTATCCCGGCTCGCAGCATCTCATCGAGATAGAAGTAACCCACCGAGACCTACTGAGCCAATGAATCGGAGATCCCTGCTTGGCCGTCTGTGAGCACTGAACTGCCCTCAACCAACTTCGTTTGCGCTTCCACTGCCAGCTAATAGAGTTAAGTGCAGTTGTACCCCAAGGACCACTAGACTGGGAAAATGAAGAGCCGCCTCGTACTTAATACATCTTGCTGCGAAGGGAATCGGGCACAGCGATGTGCTAATACCAGGCGACACTCACGGGTTCCCTACATTATCGTACGGCTTCGCCGTAGCGATGTGAGTCAGTGATATCAGGTTCAGCTGTGAAATCATTCGGGATCAGAAGGAGACTGACGGGATCAACCCGCATTGTGAGGAAGAAACGGAAATCTAGACCAGATGCACGCAGTAAGGTTCTCCCTCCGAGTCTCTCGTTCCCGCTGGAAACATGCCTTGCCGCCGACAAAGCCGTTTTTCGTTTCCGCTGACAATATGCTCGCCGAGACGGGGGTCAACGTGCAGACAATTTACTGCAGTAGACAAGGAAGGGAAGAATAAGACCCGAACTTAGTTGGAGAGGATTCGTTCAATATGTCGTCATTTTCATTTCTACATCCTCACACCCCAAAAGCGGCATTCCGTTGCCTTAGTCGAAGCTCGAGGTCGAACGAGTTATCATTCTCGAACCTGGATGTCCCCTGAAGGGAGGTCGCCCTCTGCGAAGACGGACTTCCTAGCCAATCAGTCCGAAAGACGTCCTGCAGAATCTCGGCGCTACGGGACCGCCTTCCAAGCTGCTCTACGACCTCCAGGTAAGCCAGCAGTCTGACGTCAACTTCTCGTCGAACGATGATGATCGTCCCCCGACATCGTCTCTGTTCGGAGCATTTTTTTCTGAATCCCTCCGTTTCCGATTTGAGCACAGATACCCCGGAGTTAGGTTCTTATCACGATCCCAGGCAGTCAGCGCTAGGCTTTCAGCTGCAGAACGTTTTCGCACATTTGACCGACTCCCCAACACGACGCGTTCGAGTTCCTCACGCACCTTGTCGACCAGGTCGACGAATACCTCGAGAAGAAACAAGGGAATTGGGGACCTTTCCATGATCCCTCTAGAGCGGGCGACCGTCTCCTCCTTCTTATGTTAGAATTGCCTCATTGATGCTGAGCGTTAGTGGAACTGATTGCCGCATTGATCGGGAGAGTTTTCCCTTGCGCTTACTGCGCTGCCTGTCAAGGTCATCAGGCGGGGAGAACTTGGGGCAAAGGAGGGTCCTCCGACAACGTATTCACGAATTCAAGACACCCGTCGTAGATTTTGAATCCTGTTATCCCTCGGTCCATCCACGTCTTTCGAGCGCGGGTTCCGGGCAGCCATATTTTTCGACACTCTGGCCCGCGCCGCGGTGGCAACACCGGGGATCACTGTGGTAAACAAAGGCTCCCTGCTGCTGCTGCTGCTGCTCGGGCCATTGGCAGGCAGCAGGCAGTGTTGAAGAAGGAGGCGCGGAGGCGAGAAGCGGTCGCCAATGTGTATGTGTGTGGTGGCAGAGCTGCCGCTGCTGTCCCTGCTGCTGCGGCTGTTATAGACGACGACGGACGGTGGTGTCTCTGTCGTGGTGTGATACGAACCTTCGAGACTCGGCTGGCGAGATTCTTGGAGCGTAAATCTATCGAAATGTTCGAATGAGATGAGCTCTCCGATCCTACTAGCCCTCCTGGGCCTTGCGTTCTTCCCAGCGGCCACAGCCTTTCCCGATCAAGGCAAATGGTCGTTCCACGCAACAAACGTGAGTGATTCATACACCATTTGACGCTACTGACTCTGGTCCAACGGAGCATCACCGAATGTTATTGCTGAGCTTTCCTCTACTTATTAGCTCTGCGAAGCCATGCTGAGCTCTGTGACAACTTACCCGCCTCAAATGAAGGGTCGGGCAGAGTAGTTCCAAATGACAGCTCGGGGCACCATGGTCGGTAAATTCTTACCGGCTGACGTGGGATATTCGGCCGTACTGTAGTTGCAGTCGTAGCTGGGTGCGGGCAATCTCCGTCGTTTTCCCCTGACCATTAGTTTATGAAAAGTCCGAGGGGACATAGTCAACAAGAAGAAGAAATGACCTAGGTGCAGAAATCACTTTTCTTTTGGAATTCAGGTGACGAGGTTCCTGACAGTGAACCACAAGGGTCTCTACCGTGGCTCCACGATATCTGTAAAAAGTAAGCAGCATTCCACTCTCTAAGTCCAATTCATTATTGACCTTCTAGACCGGCAATACTTGAATTGCCCCAGTGACGTCAAGACATGTGACCTGGCGGAGAGCGCTTTGATTGTTTCCGGATTGCCTGTTTTTCGGGACATCTAACTGAAAGCTATACAATGCGAGTCCTTGACGCGCGGGGCAGAAATTAATACAAGCACCAATGAGCTTGAGAATCCTTGCTGACTGACATCCTCGATCCGTTTCTCCGAGGAGGCATGAGCTTGACGTGGGATATAATGCCCATGACGTGTAACCTGTTTTAAAGCTCGATAACATCCTCTTTGCAGTCTCTTGTGATAGCAAGTTCTCACCCCGACTCCGAGTGCTATGGCAAGTCTACCGCACGCCCTGTTTCCAGGACTACTTGGGTACAAACGAGCTGGTGAGTGACTTCCAGGAATTCTGCTGGAAGATCTACACTACATTAGATCCCAGGATGAGACCACTCCGAGAGACTTTTTGACAGCCTCTTGATTCGACTCAGAGACTCCCGGGTATATACTCGGTGTGCCGGCGTTCCGTAGAATAAACGCTATTTCCCCCAACAGGGTCAAGCGGGACTGGCACTACTATTCGATGGGACGAAGAACGTCGTCAACCAAAGAATATTCGAATCTGCCCCGGAGGAACACGACTGTCTCCATCACTTCCAGCTAAAGAGTCAGGTAATACTGATGAGTTCCCTGAAGTCAGATCGGGCGGCTCCATCGTATACATGCCCGGGGATCTCTCTATCCCTTGATCGTGTCCTGATCGATAAACCTGCTCAACTTCCATGTTTAGCCCATACCCGAAGAGAAGAATGCCACGTTCATGTTCCCGGACCAAACCATCTCGAAACGGTCTGTGAATGATTCTGCGGATTTCGATGGTCTGACGAAAATCCATCGGGACGGCATCTACATGCTTCTCATCAGGCAAGTGACGAGCCTCGCTCTGCATTCCTCGGATCGTCTGAGTGATAGCGAGCACCACGACAGGCTCATGCACCCTTATCGAATCAGCGACCTATGAGGGGTATAGGGGTATGTGTCTGGTTCTAAAAACAAGTTTCGCCAATCATTCAGATTCGAGAGCTTGAACGCATCGAAGCCGTTCGATCTGTCCGTTGACGTTTCGATGAGAGGCTTGAACGGGTATCTGTCAGCTGTGGAATGGCCCTATCTGCCGTTCTACGGTACGATGTGTCTCATCTACACGTTGTACGCTCTCCATTGGACCATCGTATGCGCCCTCCGCTGGAAGGAACTGCTCCGCATCCAGTTTTGGATCGGAGGAGTGATTTTCCTCGGACTACTGGAGAAAGCGGTCTTCTACGCAGAGTACGAGAGTATTAACAACACGGGCCATTCCGTCCGAGGGGCAATATTATTCGCCGAGCTGGTCTCTTGCCTCAAGCGCAGCCTCGCGCGTTTACTAGTTATCATCGTCTCTCTCGGTTTTGGTATAATCAAGTGAGTTTATTTATATAATTATCAAGATTTCATCGACCGAATGTGGAAGAGGAATGATGATTCCTCGAGAAGAACTGGCGTCACGAATCGGCTTCTTCGCCTCCGCAGGCCCCGTCTAGGTGATATGCTCCATAGGATCATGATTGTCGGTGGTCTCTATTTTGTTTTGGCCTTGGGCGAAGGCTGCATCCGCGAGCTGAAACCTCGCACGGCACCGGACCGGACTCTGTTTTCGCTCTCGATGTGTTTGGCTCTGCTGGATTCTGCTATCTGCTACTGGATCTTCACGTCGCTCGTCCAGACAACGCGGACTCTGACTCTACGGCGGAACATTGTCAAATTGACCCTTTACCGACACTTCACCAACACTCTCGTGTTCTCGGTCCTCGCATCTGGCGTGTTCCTCGTTTGGGTCGTTCTCAATCATCGCCTGAGCGAATGCATATCTGACTGGAAAGAGCTGTGGTTCGATGATGCGTATTGGCAAATCCTGTTCTGCACGATTCTGCTCGTGATCATGGTGAGCCATTGCTTTAGTTCCTCGTTAGTTTTTCGCTGCCGCACGAAATTGGCCTCTCCTTGAATCTATCCACGAGATTTTATCCGAGAATCTATTGACTCGATTCCTTGAAGGTATTGTGGCGTCCAACGAACAACAACAACCGGTTCGCATTCACGCCTCTGCTCGACAACCCAGATGATGAGAAAGACCCAGACAGCGACACTGCGACGCTGCTGGACATAACGCACGTCAAGCAGCGACAGGTGAGTCAAATCCCAGCTCTCTAACAAACGGGTTGGGGAGTGATGACAACTAGTACCTGAAATACATTGCCATGAAGAGGTCTCAATTGAAAATCCGTTCCAGATTGGCCCGAGCAAGAACCAGCCGCCAGCTCAACAGCCCGAAATAATTCCCAACGGCTCCATAGAAGAAGACCTCAAATGGATCGAGGCGCACGTGCCCACCGATGCCGCTCTCGGCACGTTGGCGGATTCCGAGGAAGAAATTCTCACAGTGCAGTTTGAACGGAACAAAATGTTGTGAACATATTCCGGGAATCCCAATCGCACGGAGAGCGGACCCATCTGATCAATGGAGGTCCAGCGCAGTGATCCTGCATTGCGATCGTCCGGCGGTGACGATCCTGTATCGTGAATCTATTCGCTGCACAGGACTGTGTCCGAAATCTAGTCTTGCGTCGAGCATTGGCGATCGGATCTGAATCGTGGAGAGCCGTGATCGAGCGTTCAATTGAGAGTTCGAATGGAGAGAGATATGATGCGGACGACTTATTTATGCGAATGGACCGGTTCGCCTACAGCAGCCTTCTGTCGGTTGGTCGGCACGGCCGGCAGACTCGGAAGAACCGACAGAGGCAAACGTCTCTGTCCGGCCGCCCTCGGGCTCAGCTGCGATGTTCAATGAGCGAATAGTTCTATTTTAAACTCTATTTTGAGACCTAGAAAATCTGATGCAATTTGTCGGCAGCCTCTGTACAAATGTAAATATTCTGCGGCGGAGGAAGGAATGGCAGGAGTCGGCACCTCAGCTCGAGTCGCTCTATTGAACTGCAGCTCTTCTGTGGTGTCGATCGCAATAAATAAAAATCTGAGTGCTTTAGATCGGAACACTGGAAGTGGAGTTCTCTATGCCCGATATACAGGTCAATTGCACGGGTCCGAGAATCGAACCGGACCGAAGCGGAGAAACTCGAGGGAGACCCTCACGGTCTCAATGGCGATCGATGTCTCCTGGATGCATATTCTCGAAGAGAACTCGGGCCTTTCGCCTCAGACGCCTTCCTATTAGTGGCTGGGGACAGTATTCCTACGGAACGCTCTGGAGCCACGGAGCATCGGCTATCTGGGAGGTCTCTCACTGAAGCTTCCCGAAATATAATCATGGTGTATTGGAACTTTTCAAACGCATGACGAGAAGAAAATTCATTGGCAGCACAGAAAAATTTTCCAGTCGGGGTAGTCCGAAACGGCCGTCTCCGGACACGCTCCCGCAAGAATTACACGGGCTCTTGCGAGATCGGGAGTCTCGTGTCGTGGTAGCCTAGACGTTAGGTGTCGTCTCTACCCCATGGATCCGCTGTCTCCGTCATCCGCTCGAATTTGCCCGTTTCCATAAGCTGTTCTGATACCGAGTCATTCCAGTATCCTGCGGGCGGAGAACACTCGATAAGGTCTTCCGCAGAACCCCTTCGTCTCTCAACTTTATTTGAAAAAAAAGGTCGTTAGAGAAGCATTTGTAAGCATTTGCAACAACAATTGTACTGTGCTGTGACACTTCTTCCTTTGGATGTCACGAATTATGTACTTAGGCGACCGCCGTTGCTATTTCCACTCCTCTCCCTTCCAGAAAATCCATCCCTCCTCGGTGGGATTTTCTAGACGATTTTGATTGCCGCGGTTGCAGTAACCCCACCGTCAGCGTACCTAACTCATTTCGGAATAGACTGGAATATTTCGTCACTCATTACGCGGATGGGTCCAGAGAACTCCAAGGTTTGCGTAAAGTTTCTTCTGCGGACCAAGTCAGCCCATTTTCGCAGTTCGGCTCATTCAAACATCTCGGCATGATTAGGACTGGGAATGGGTATCCGGGTTTTCGTGAATTTCCCGGGTCATAATCCGTGGAATCAATCACGGCTCTCACCGTGACCGTGTCGCGGCCGCGCTGCACTCATCGTGCTGAACATCCTGGGCGCACGTAGACTGCTGACGATCAAGAGAGTCTGATCGGGAGCGCTCATTGATTGGGGAATCACGGAAGCTACAAAACAGATGGGTAAGTCCAATTCTCTCGAGCACGAGCTGATGCGAGTGAGAGTGTCGGTAGAGGATGTTTTCATGGAATTTCTCATGCCCATTCACATCGGACGATGAATCGTTTCGAGGTCGATAGTGCGCTTGAGGCTCGAGGATTGCCTCAAGCCTGGATTGCCTGAATCTATCACCTCCTCCGGCTCAAAGTCCGCGACCCCTCGATTGACGCATTGTTATCCGCTCGGAGAACCCCCCAGTTTTCAAGCGGACCCGCAGATCCCATACTCGAATTCCCCCCAACCGTGGTGCGGCTGGGGTCGGGACGCCTCGGGTGGGACTGCCTCATGAGCTCTCAATGCTGGAGTTTTCAGATTTTGCATTGAAAGGACGGCTCCTCTCCAAGGGAGAACAGGAGGATTGCGGAGGGGGCATTGGAAAATTTCACGATTGGGAAGCACATTAATTTACCGCGCAGACTCGGCCCAGACCCCTCGGACGAGAAGGAGCTTCCGCATGGATTTTTATCATTTCCGGCCTTGGGTGCAAAACCTAATCGCCCGCACAACACCTAGCATTCGGAAATTCCCCTGCATGCGAGAAAAATCTAAGTCTATCGCGCCCGGGATCTTCCGCGAGGAGCCATGGGGGAAAACTTGGGGTAGAATGTGCTTGATCGCGGGAAAAATCAAAGGTGTCCGTACTGCCAACAGCTCGCGCTCGGTACTGTCAGCACCGCAGAAGCCCCGCTGGATCATCGGAAAGCTTCATTCGATCATGGTCAAGGCAAAATCCCGTGGATTCCTGAAGAGATCTTGGCGCCGACCGGGCTCCGCCGGCTTTTCATCGGAAAACCGACGAGCCTCTGCCGAGCCCACGCCGAGGCCTCGCTGAGGCGTTGCTTACAATCAGCTGCTGCGGGCGAATTAAATATATCTCAAATGGCTCTTGATGCTTCACTGATGAAGGCATCCGTCGGCGTCGTTCAGGAGACCTGCTGATTAGAGCGCATGTCCAGGATCCGTCCCAGCATACTCCGATGACCGATACGATGAGCGGATGATTACGAGCATCAAGAATGCAGGCATGCGGGGGGGGGAGGTGTCTCCCGAGAACCGGGTGCGGAATCCGGCTCGAAATAGTTGATACTTGATTGTTCTCAATTGGTGAGTCCCGAGAGCGGAGATGCGACGAGGATATCTCCCCCCACTGTTTCTCTCTCGGGCACCCTCCCGAGTCGGTATATAAGGCCTCCTGAGAGTCAGGGAGGTGTATTCTGAAATTCAGCTGCTGTTCGAGATGAAAACTCGTTCCAAGAGCCGCAACCATTCGTCCGAGGCGGACCTTGACTACGACCAGGTCGTTCGAAATTTCATCGAAAGGAACAAAAAGCGACGGGCCATGAGAGAAGAACACAGGATCTTCCGTCTTAGCGGAACCTCGACGAGGTCGCACGAATGGTCATCGTTCGTCCTCTCGCTGAACGACGAAACGCCGTGCTTAGAGAACCTCACGCCGGAGCGGCTTTCGAAGCCATCAGTGATGTTTTGGGCAGCTCGGAGACTTTTGGAGCTCTCGAGGGCGAAAAAATAACAGACCCTGGACAACATCCCTCGCGGATGGCTCGAGTTTCGCCTGTCGGGCTCAATCTCACCATCGGAAGGAATCGTAAACGTCGTAAATCGTAATCGTGAATGAAGGAAAAGGAATCGTCACGTCAGGCCAGGGTTCCTTCTTGATTCCACGCACTTTATGGTCAGAATAAATACATACGAGTGTTTCAGCAACGATCCCATTTCCCCGATCATTCCTCCAATGAAATCGGTAGGACGTACGAGTGGCGATACCATCATAAGCCGCCCGGGTCCCTAAATTGCCACGGTAGCAGGCTCACCAAAGAAACCTTCCGACGACGGGCCCGTGATCATTGACTCTGGCTCCTCTCACGAAAAACTCGGTTCTCCGGTGTCTGAGGTCTCTCCGGAAGCTGTCGAAATTCCGCTCCGAATTCGGAAGCGGACGTCCGCATGTCAATTTTCCATCTTCAATCCAGAATTCGATCCTTCGACAGTTCGGGTTGTACATTTCCTCCACGAGCAGATCTTCGCGCTGAGAGAGTCCATACTGAACTTGCGGAACGAGGGAAAGACCATCATGAGGCCGGGAGGCTCTCCCGGGCCTTGCTCTGTCCGTCGATCCGTTTGCAGTAAAACGAATCCTCGCCAAATTGAGTTCCCGATCACCACTTGATCAGCACCTCCCTTCATCGCTAATCTCGCGTGTTCATTATCAGTCGATCGCTGCAGAACGATATCAGAGCGCACAAGACTCTCGTGCTCCCGATTCGCCTTCGCGGATGGTCGAGCCAGTGATCATGGCTAAAAAACATATCCGTGCACATGAGAACTTCGAGACCTTCCTCTGCTCCTTGCACCGTCCATGGAAAGCTGCCTATGAAGTCATCTGCTTTTTTTCTCCGAAGAAAGTAGCGAGGATATCTCTTCGCTCATCTCTGTTTGCAAATAAGTAAGTGCGGAAGAACCGATTGATCCACGACAAGCTCAGAGTAACGTATCGTGCTTCCTCGCTGCGCGCGGCGGGCCTGCTCGACGCCCTGCGCCTACACAAAATTATATCTGATCCTCGTGAATCTTATCGACCTTCTTCGATCTCAGATGATTATCAGCCTCCGGGGAGGTGACGTTTTTGGAGGAATTGCGTCTTTATCAGTCGCCTGTGAAGTATGCTTGTGTCTTTCGACGATTGCATGATCCGACTGATCCATGTCCTGTAAAACCACGTCAACCCCCTCTTCGACAGAACCACGGATATCAACATTTGAACGACGCTTTTCGGGAGGTTTCGGATTGATGGTAGGTCAGGAAGTCCGCTTGGTAAAAGTCGGCTCATTCGCCACTCGCCACTGTCCGGCTGAGGTCATGTATCTTGAATGAGACCGTCCTGTGAAGCTCAAGGGAAGTCTCAACCGCGAGCTGATCCGAATGGTCTGCCCTTAAGCTGCTCCAAGCCGTGAGGCACATCACAGCCGTCTTGCATGCTGACATCCTTGGGGGAACTCCATGTTTGAGGGCCGGGTCTGAAGCGCGCGCTCTAGAGTCCGCGCCGAGTCCCTTATTCCTTCTCGCGCAAAGAAGATTGAAATGATATTCTGACTCTCGAAGTAGATCGTTCATCCCTGGAAGGCCTATCTGACTCCGGGGATTCGCTAGTCGGGATGTAATATCGACGGGGATCGCTCTCATTTTCGGCTCAAAAATCCACCTTTGGCGACCATTCCTCATCTTCATCGCAGGGGCATCCTCGGCCGATCCGATAATTCTCTTGAATTCGTCCACGTCGATGTGGGCAGTCTGTCCCGGACGGGATCTCAACGATCAAGCTAGATCTTGGTACCAAGATCGCCGTCACGGAGCGATGGTTCGGGAAAAGTATTTTCAGCGTCCGACATATATTTTCTCAGAGCCCTCCCACAGACAGAGAGCTCCGTCTTCCACAGTGTTCTGGAATACCGATCTGGATATTTCCGGACGTCGATATCGTTTACGATAGTTTTAATCTCAATGTCTGACCCAGGCTGTTCGCGGGTAGGATGTTGAATCATCTGTCAAAGCTTCTCTGAGCACCGAGCGAGCGAAGCTTCTATGAGGAGCTGAGAAGGTCTTCAGTGCGCTTCATCCTCCGTGCAGAACTTAAGAAACTAATGATCACGTCTGAGCTCTGCCAGATCAGGTTGTCCGACCCAAAGAAGGTTCCTGTTGGTAAGCCGAGCGCGAAGTCAATCGGTTCAGTCACGGATGTCTTTATTTTGCTGTGACGTCACAGCTGCCGGTTAAAATACACGTAGAATTCTATTTGGTCATATCTGCTGTGGAGCTACGAGAAATCTTGAGAGAATCCTGATCTGTTTTACGTGCGATCCTTGCTGGCGACGCACGGCGTCCCTCATCCAGTCTCTCTTAGTGTCGGGCAGTGCCCATCATCTCATCGCTGAGGAGGGGTCTCGAATGTGAGTTCACTGTGTGCTCTGGAAGCCTCGAAGATTCGATGAGGAAAATTCATTCTGTCCGGAGAAAGTCTCGCTCGGTTCGCTGATGATGCAACCGGCGATGCGCTATTCGGTCCATCTCCGCAGAATCCCTGCCTGATCGGTATAAGAGAATGTTCTCCCTGCCGATTTCCATCCCGAGCGCTCGGAAGGCTCCGACCTACAGCGTTTGCTTCCGAGACTCCCTCCGGTGGACAGAGTGGAATGATTTTTCTGTATTGAGGCAATATTGAACACAGATCTCATCTTATAATGATTTATCTTCTCCACTATTTCAGCCGCCTACAATCATGAGTGAAATTGCAGACTGGTTCAAGAATCTGCCGACATTTACCCGGTACTGGTTCGGTATATCGATTGTGATTCCGGTGGCCTGTCGTTTCCATCTGATCGCGCCCTACTGGATGGTTTTCGATTACGGTCTTGTCTTCAAAAACTTAGAGGTGAGGGAGAGGGTTTTCATCCGTTTGACAGTTGACGTCTCAATGCCCACAATGAGAATTTCGCACCTCTGCGCGTCATTCACGGTAGTAACATTCGACAATTGTTTTTCAGATATGGCGACCTTTCACGGCCGTGTTCTTCTATCCGATGGGGATACACTACCTCATAAATCTCTACTTTATTTGTTCGTACTCCAGTAGACTCGAAACTTCGACCTACAGCGGACGACCGGCAGATTATCTATTTATGCTTCTCTTCAACTTCGTGTGCATTGTATTCGTCGCAGTATTCACAAACCTCCAGGTGAGCTTCGGTACTTCAAGTTCTGGAGACCGGGGTGAAGATCTTTCCAGACCTGAATATTGAGGAAGTATATTATGTGCTGAGGAACATATTAGAGTTTTCTGTCATCTTTCCAGTTACTGATGGACGCGATGATTTTGTCGGTTCTCTACGTCTGGTGTCAACTCAATAAAGAGCAGATAGTGTCTTTCTGGTTCGGGACGAGATTCAAGGCCGGATATTTCCCCTGGGTTCTCTTCGCGATCAGTCTCGTGATGTCCGGTGGGGGCCTTCACGAGCTCATCGGGATCCTGGTTGGCCACCTCTACTATTTCCTCAACTTCCAATATCCGCAAGAGGGAGGCCGACAGTTGCTCTACGTCCCCAACTTCTTGTGAGTTTTTATATCCATCACCGAATTTCGGATTCCAACGTCGATTGATTGGATCAAGAATCTTAGCCCTCCTATAGAAGATTTGATATCATCCTATCTGATGTCCATTCATACAAAATCAGGTACAAGTACTTCCCGAACCACTCCGGAGGCTTCGGCAGCTTCGGCCAAGCTCCTCAGAGACGACCGGCTCGACCCCAAGGCGACGGAGACGCTTCCAGCCAGAGCGGAAACACCGGATGGTTTAGACACAACTGGGGGACAGGTCATGTCCTCGGTCGACAGTGATGGCGCTATATTGACGGATATTCGCTAGAGAGTTGTACATACAGGTCTTAGAAAGCTTACGCCCGGCCCTGAGGGGCAACTTCATGGACACCGCAAAAGAGTCAAGAGTGATACATAAATGAAGTTGGATGATAACCTAATTATTAAAGACGATACGATGTTGCAAATAGGGGGCATTTCATTGTATGGTTCGTATGAACAGTTTTGGCTCATGTGTTTCTCCGCATAGATAAACATCCAGACGAAATGCAGATCTGATAGACAGCTCGAGATTCCGAGATCGACGGCCACCCTCGATTGGCCCGAGGACTCGAGATCGCCGAATCTCAGTGTATGCGACACTGGGTTATAGCATCAGCTTTTTCTGCGAATTCGGAGGAGAGCAACTTGGTCACCACCGCGCGGGCGAGGTAACAGGTCGAGACCGAGTTCGGGACAGCGTAGAACGCACTCATCTCTTCTCGCGACTTGCGTCTGCGCGGTGATCCTTGCAACTGCGCCTCATTCTGCGGAGTTCCTCGGTCTATTTGGAAGAGAGCGAAGGCCTCGCGAATCAACTGAGGGAGGGATGAAAGCTCTGTGTTAGTTGTTTTTTTTTCAACTTTTTTTTCCTCTCTTAGTTTTCTTTCGATTGAGGAGGCTGATCAGACCGGAATTCCAGAGATCGAGACTGAATATCTGATCGCCCTGCAAGTTCTTAGCATTGGCTCTCACCTCGTCGAGATCAACTCGTGTGCTGAAACAGAACTCATGGTTCCGCCTGAGGATGACATCGATCACCATCAGTAGCTCGACCATCAGGTGACGATATTCAGGGAACGAGACCCTACTCAACAGGAATTCGATCTTCAGGGCGAAACTTAATTCGTAAACTGTGAGCTCCGATAGCGTTGGTTGCTGGGGGAGATGTTGCCCGCAGATCACAATGCCCTCGGGGACTCTGGTCAAGATGTCCCAAACCCTGAAGAGAGCCAAAGAATAATAATGAGATATGAGATGAATAAATTGAATGCTCATTGAAGGATGCATCAGTACAGGCGGTGGCGTTAATCCTCTCGATAATGGAACGTTCGATAATCCAGGTATGACCGCAGAATTCGACTGGGGGGAGCTCTTGAGTTGCCGAAATTTCTTGTCTCCCTCCTTTCGATCTGCAGATTGGTATCTCACCGATCGAAAAAATAATCCGGGACCCGGCACAGGGCTCCTTCGATTTGTCGAATCTGGTGTTGCGTGAACGAAGAGTCTTTCACATCCAGAACCTTGAGCACAACTCGACGGAGGTCGGATGGAGACAGTGACTCTAGGGCTTTCTGATTGTCAGAGAACTTCATATACAGCTGGAGCGCATGAATCATCCAGCCCACGCGGATCTTGAGGATACCATTGAACAATTTCGGCGTTGTTTGGATAAGCTTCCCGCAGTACACGAGAATTTCCTGCATGAGTACTGCGTGGTATGGGTAGCCGGTACATTGGCTGTAGATGAGCTGAAATATCGGAGGAGCACTTGGTCGAATTCTGAGAAGGTGATGAAAGTATACGCAGGCGGGAGATTCCCGTTCCAACGATCAATGCCGCGATTATAGCCCCACCTGTTGTACTTCCGAAGGTGTGAGCGGATGATCGATGACTTGCTCGGATTTTCCGAATACTCCAACGGTGAGCTGCTTTCCGCTGACCAAAATCGATGTAATGTAGGGACTAAGGGAATCGGCCAGTTTCCCGAGAAGACTCGAACAATATCGCACGACGGTCCAATGACGGAGCGCTCCAGCCTGGGGAAGCAGTGCGGAATTATTGCTGTAATCACGGGAGTCTACAATCTGAGGATTCTGCCCTCTTCTTTGGAGTTCCGCATCATTCTCTCGAATCGTCGAACCGCCTCGCGCAATTTTCATTCGGTGTTTCGCTCGCTCAGCTCGTTCAAACTGCAATCAGAGCGGCCCCGGTAGAGAACTTGCATGACTGGAACGCTCATCCAGTGAATTTCACGGAGACACGAAACCCTTGCCGAGCATCAATTTCTTCGATGGATGACGCGGAGAACCTCCTGTCAAACTCCCGAATCCATCAGCTTGAGGGAAAGTTCCGCTGTCACACGGGCAGCAGTCCATCACAGGGAGCTGAGGAAAACCGCAGCGGCCACCAACATGAGTCACGTGACGTGAAGGTATACTCACGAGCTCGACATAGTAGGATTCTTGGTCTTTTAGGCTTGACAGCTTGAATAGCAGCCGTCATTTCTGGGAAATGATTTACTTGGCGCTTTTGCTTGGCCAGAGACGCATAACGTCAGAGAGATCCGCGTAATTTTCATGACAGGTCTTCGAAAGCACCCTTTCTTGGGGCTCGATCCGAGTGCTTCCCCGATCGATCCTCTATGATACATACATCCGGCATCCCGGAAACGGAACGTCGAATCGAAAATTGATATTCCGATTGAAGCAAGGAATCCCGCATGAAGTCCGCTGTCCGAATTGCTTCCCACCCGAGTTCCAGAGAATCACATTTTACTTATTCCAATATTCATTCATATGACCAGACAGCGCATGAGGGCATGAGAATGTCGAGAAACAGTCTAGCCAGCCCAACCTTTACTAACCTGTCTTGTTAGTCGCTCCATGCGATCTTTGAGCGTTACACCGTCGATGTTGAAGTTGGAGCTGCATCTTTGCCATAAGATACCGAGAAGCTGGCTCTGTCCGAAGAGCGTGTCCACCTGTCTCAGCGCAGCGACGATCTCGTCGGTGGACTTATCGTTGAATTCAGAGTAATTCTTCAACGGCTCATTGTATTCCAATATTGTAGGTATGTCAGTCAGACTGGTGTAGCCCGTGTGCGGGTTCTCGAACTGTTGCAGACATTGGAATTTGGGCGCGACATCGTCGGGAACCAGATCGAGGAAATCGAGATGTTCGATGCAGGACGAGTTGATCAAGTTCTGCAGACGTCCCATCCGCACCTTGAGACCGTAACAATTGCCGGACTTCAACATTGCCAGGAGTTCTAGAAGTTGTCTAAAGTGCGTGTCCCTCATATTCTCCTCACGGATGAGAATCGCCACCGTCGGCCGGCCAGACATCCTCCAGTACTTCCCCACGAAATGGAGTTCATTCTGCAATATTTCGCTTGGTGAGGCCCGAGAGGATCATGATCGATTCTTCCGTCACGTGTCAAGATACCCTGTCAAGATTCTGAGGCTCATCGAATGTTTTTGATAAATGTCGAATCATTCACCTTGATGTCATCGATCAGCAGAGCCATATCGTAGCTGAGGTAGAAATCAGAAACTTCGAAAATGATTGGATAGCACAAAACTGTATTCCCCTTGATTTTGTAGAGCTTGCTCGTGCCCAGGGCGCCGACGGGCCGCGGCGGACGACCCTTCAGACCGAGTTTCTGGTTCACCCCTAGATGTTGATAGACCTTCACGAGCTCCGTAGGGGACCATATCTGGACGGGTTCTACTTCGTGAGGGGTTTGTGTTTGAATTCCGTAGGTGGCCATCATCGCTTGCAGGCGCTGGCTTTCTGCGATCAGAACCACTTGGACCACGAGATCAGCGCATGCTTTTCCTTGGAAAGCCGAGTATCTATCGCTTCTCCGCGGTCGATTGAAACTCGGTAGATACCGTCGAATAGGATCGAGTTCATTGATGTGGAGCAGCTCGTGGACCAGCAATTGGGATATCAAATAGAAGGCTTGACCCATGAGGAATAAATTCTCTTTGGTGCCCTCCTTCGAGGCGACTCGGTGCGTTTGACCCGGATGAGTTTTCTCGGTCTCGACAAAAGTTGGTGGGACGAAGTAGTATTTCGGAACCTATGAACGCATTAAAAAAAATTTTCCAGTGATCTGAAGTCGATAATTAGTGGATGATATCATCGACAAAAGGACAGGAGTGAGTACCGGGGAATGAGGGTATCAACTCACGATAGCGTATCCGTTGTCGTCTCGAGTGATTCGCTTCTCGAGCAGCTCCGAATACTTCGCTACTTGATCCTCGTTGTTCTTGAAAATGCCATCGAGGAGTAAAATGATGTAGCCGAGGGGCCATTCGCTCTCTATGTGGTCGAACAGCTGCAATGATTGATATTCCAGGATTGGAATTTATGGACAGGAACCATGTTGGTGATGGACGGACTTCCCGTTCGCCACTCCAGACAGGACCCCGCCGCTAATCACGAGGCGCACAAATGAATAATTGCTCGAGGGCTCGTAATCGAGGGACTGTGAGGCATTGTACAACATTCCGGTTCGATTGGATCCCATGACCTTTTGTGAGAATAGATGACTGCATAGCGAAGATGGATTGTGGCAGTGGATTTCCCCGCCAAAAGGAGGTAGTTCATCCCTCTTCGAGATAACCCTTTTTCAACACAAAACAGACGAGGAAGACCGAGAGAGCTCAGAGGAGTGCACAAAGATGGAGAAAGATTTGTGAACGCTGCTCGTGTCTCGAACTGTTGGTAGTCAGTGATCAATCAACATGCGCCCAAGGTCCTCTCATCTTGATGCATTGATTCACCATACTGCAAAGCCCGCGAGTAGAGGGATCCTTCTGACGGGGTAGCTCGCGAAGCGATCGAAATTCACCCTTTCCGTACCTTCGTTTCTCCTTGATCGTAGAATCGTTTCGTTGTATCTTCTAAAACACATCCGTAACCATCGCGGAGGAATCGTTTGAGGCCGAAATTGCCCTCAAGTCTCCGGATGATTTTGTCTTTAGTCCGACTATACAGGTATTCGTCGTGAGTAGCGAAACAGGGGAAACTGGCAGCCAGAAGTAATCCGATGTCGGTGTTCTATGGGAAGAATATTTGAAATGAGTGCTCGACACCTCGACGGATTCGATAAATCAATCGGGATGACAGCGACAAGAGGATTGTGGAAAAAGAAGCATGATGATTTTGGATTTCCGGTGCGTATGGAGCGAGAACTTCGCGCATGTCAGACCTTTGAACTCGATTCTCTCGGCAGAAGAGTTTCGAAAATCGTCCGGTTCCGGTTGTGAGCATCGATGTCCACATAGATGGTGCTCCACTCAGCGCCTTTGTCCCCGAAGACATTGAAGCCATTGATTGCTTCGAGAGCTGCTTTAGCCATGCCGATCGAGGAAGCATGGATCTCTGGCGTACCGTTATTGTACTTTGAACCTCGTTCCCATATGCCGAAGTCTGGCGTCCGATACGCTCTGGAATATTTTTCAAGTGCCTAGTATCATATTCCCCTATTTTCCTCATCCCGGATACGTGGAATAAACTCACAATCAGCTTCAACCATGACGTCATTCGCGAGTATTCATGGGAATCAAGGGGAAGTCGGCACGAATTCGGGCTCACCTCTCGACGTAGTAGACGAGGTTTTGCAGGAAATTCACCTCATCCATCGTATAGATAATTTGGAGTCCGGAAGAAATCATCTGAACGATATAGAGGAGATATAAGGCGGTGTTGTTCAGTTGCAGATGTCCGTAGTCGTTGTCGCCGAGAAGTGGTTTCCCTGTTTTCGCGTCGAACACTGAGTGCAACGCGAACTCCGGGCATTGTTTCGATTTGAAGCTTTCCATCTGAAGAACGAGTACGTTAAGTCAAGCTAGCCACGGAGGCTTCACTTCTCGGTGAAGCGATGCTAATAATGGTTTTACCTTTGATTGGCTCTGGCGCATCCATCCGAAAAGAATTCCTCGCATGGACTTGACGACGCTCTGGCCGAGCTCGTAAGTTTTCCCCCGATCATCATCGATCCTCCGATAAGCTTGGTACAGAGCCCAAACGCAAACCGAGCAATAGAGCGTGTCTTGTATGTGTGCGATGTTTTCCGACGAGTTCTTTGGGTAGAGACCGGTTGTAGCGCTTTGATATCGAAGAATCTGTTTCTTCACTGCGGAAAAGCGGACTTTTTACGCGAGCTGTGATAATCGTTGGGATGCGTCGCCTCGAATATGCGTAGCACCATCATTTTCTTCGAATCAGAGCCCCTACCTTGATTGTAGAATGCGTCCAAACGTTTCACTGTGTCAGAATAGTTGGTCATTTTGATGGATTCCAAGTCAAGGTCGATCGCACCGGAGAGTTTCTCATGACTGCTGGAGCGTTGTGGACTTGTGTCCAAACTGCAAGAACGAGCCAGCGCGATCTTTCAGATTGAGGCCTGTTGTCGGATATTCATCGAATCTTGAATTTCCTCGCGAGGTGCTCAAATCTCTCGAAGGGGGTGGTCTTGTTCTTCCCTGCTCGGCTCCGGCCTCCGACACGGAGGTGAAACATCGATAGAGCAGCCGAGGATGACAGCAGTTTTCTCACGTTAATGTCCCCTTGGCGATAGGATCGTCCAGAACATGTCGCTTCTTGTGTTCCGCACGGCTTCGAGCTCGTGGAATGACTGGATATCCTTGCTTAGCATCGACTCACTCAGAGGCACCGAGCGATGGCTTCTAGAGAAGAACCGTTTCCACAGTGCTCTCCGATTGGCAATGTTCTCTCGTTCGAAATCCTCAACTCAACGTGTCCCGTGGACTCGGTCAGCGAGTACAAATCTTAGATAACGAACCTTTGCTCCTTCCTTTCCAATGGTTTGTAAGCTTCATATTTTGGCCTGCTGCCCGCAATGTTTTCGTGATCCATTCCTAGCTCGTGGTTGAGCCGCCGACCTAACCGAATCACGCATCCCAGTGTGTCTCAGTGTATGATGGTCACACCATCGAAAGAAGGAAGGGAACGGACACGCGCGACAGCGGCGGCGGAGGCGACACACGCTCCCGCGACGACTGCCGTCAGAGCACACTCGATCTTTCGACATCTCCCCGAAAAAACGACTGGTGGCAACATTCTCGAACTCCGCGACAGTCATCGTCAATACGAGGTTTGGTGGGTCTTCTTTTGCTGGGGTCCCCGAGGATGTCCCCGTCTGAATCCGTTCGATTAAACCGTCACCTGTTGCTCGCCGGGGACAGAGCAGCCACCGATTCCGATGTTTCGGAGTATTCGATATTTTATGCGATGCTCGATTAATTCTCAATCCGGAGCCTGCCAAGCGGCGGAAGTGTCGGGAGCCAGCAGGCCAGGGGGAACGGTGCTTTCCAGACTCCAGACATTCACAGAGCGCACACTGCTGACAGCCTCTACCGATCATATTGGAATCTTCTTAGGTCCTCGTAGAGTCATTGACCTCTGTGAATCTTACCCGAGATAACGCATCGGTGCCATGATTCCCACCTTCGGAACTACGAAGGTCGCTGTGCTGCCACCGAGCTCGATCGCTTCCCAACTGAGAACCACAACAAGAGAGGGCCTCGCACGGGCCGCGAATCGGGCCCCGGTCGGGACACGAAGGGAGGAAGAGGAGAACACGGCGGTACCACCGACACAGAGACCGAGGTCTTGCTTCCAGCAGCTTCGAGGCGCGAATTCGCTTCCAACAATGAAATTCACTGATTCCTTGACTCGTTCGGAGCGTAACAACAACCTCTCTCCAGAGGTGCGTAGGACTGAATGTCGAGTCTGATAGACACCTTCCTCGATTCGGACATCTCGACAGATACGTCCGGAGTCGAGGGCGACGAGAGGATCCTCGTATCATATCTCGGATCCGTCGGCTCTGTTGTTTCGACTCGCTATCAGTGCTATCACGTATCACGTCGTTCATCGTTATCTCTCGCGAAGTTCAAAGTTGGACCTGATTCGCATCCGAGAGCTCCCTCCTCCGCGATCTCTAATATCATGACTCCCACGCAAACCTCAGCCCCCTGGTTCGTGGGCAGCGCCGCCCACGTGGGCGTACGCTCCGTGACAGCTCCACTTCGCCTAGAACAACCAGCCCCCTACCCCGAGCTCCTGAGTAGCACGCAACAAGAGACCTCGTACGATATAACAACAAAATCGTGTCGAACGTTCTATCGGACTCGCCTCCCACTCGAAACCGTCTACCCCATTCAGCTCCTTCCAGGTCCACTGAGTAACAACACCGAACGGCTTCATTGGATTTTTTTTATTCATCTCGAAAACCACTTCCATTGGGACAACTTAATTTCCAATTGATGGAATCTTCATCGATTCAAGATCTTTTTCGTCGTCGACGCTTCTCAGATGCTGTTCACAGATTTCTCAATCGGTAAGGTTCTCTGTTTCCAAGCCTTTAGCATCGAACGATGCCCAGGAGCGCCCACAATCGTTCGAGAGAACGACGACGAGCGCGGTCCGTGATCTCGTTCAACATTTTTTTGCAGGTGTGGATCTAGAGAGTTCAGTGTAGTATGTTCTGCTTGCTTGTAAATGCTTGTTTGGTTCGATTTGATACTCTAGCTTCAACAATGAGTTCTTAAAAACAACACAAGTTTTAGCGAGTTCCACTAACGAGCCGACGAGAACTCCTCAAAGAAGAAATCTGTAACACCCTAAATGATATGCAAGATCCTGATTGCAAATATACAAAATTTGTCAGACTCCATCGGCCCCTCTGAATCCATCATCACAAACTCCGTAAGGCACTCGCTCTTCAATCTATTATTTGGCCTCGTACCTACTAAGACTCCCCGCCGAAGAGACCGCCGCATTCGCTTCGAAGGGACCCGATTCAAGTTTAGAATAGGAATGATCCTGAAGACGATTAAGACTCAAATAATTATTTTAGTTCAGCCCCTGGAAAACCCCCGACAAGAGGGAAAAGAAAATAACGCCGAATCTGAAGGGAGTGAAAGAATATTCTCAGATTGATTGAGTTCAGTTCGAGGCGATAGACTGTTGACGGTGTCCGAAGAGAAAATGAACTTGGCGGAGTCATCTCCTCTTGCGAGAAGTCACGCGGCCAAATCACGAGCTTCTTCTTGCAACCAATAGCTCGAGATTCCGTCGCCAACAACATTTGTCCTACTCGTTCCGACCCATGAATTTCTACCTAGGAGGATGTCAGATTGTCCGGCCCTATGTTGTCTTCGTTTCCTGTTGTTGACTCTCATTGGACGCATATCAGTCAATCGATGGGTTGGCGGACTCGTCAACGGCAGGAAATGAAGACGTGGTTTGGGGAGATCTCGATCGAGGCCCCGGGTGAGGCTCCGAATCCACAAATCCCGCGATTCGTCAACGAAGGAATGCAACTACGGGTGTGACTGCCGCCGATGACTCACTTATGCGAAGTGGTTCCGACCGAAAACCTTCCGATGAACAGGACAGCTTGAATTTGGAAGCGAATCGCATGAGGTCCGGAAACCTCGTGGAAGACGAGGTTCTCCCGAGCGTACCCGCTCGACTTCAAAAATCGGCACCGACGGCTGATGCTTTCGGAGATGCTCTCGTGAAGTTTGTATGTATCTTCCACTGTCAGCGTCACCGATACGCTTTCCGCTTACCTAAACTTATGACTAGCTATACACGAGCGATTCATTATAGTACATTCTTTTCTTTCGTCATGAGGGTCTTAGGTCTTTTGTCGTGGGTCGACCTCCTGAGGTTGCACAGACCTTCCCATTGGGCCTGACGATGATCGTGAGAGGCGGCGAGATTCCGTGTCCACTTTTGGGAACATTGACCATCACAAGCGAGGCAGGGTCGAGTCAGAGCGTAACCTGCGGAAAGAAGAAGATGGATTGAGTTCGCCGTTGCGTCCGCAGTTCCATCCGTTGATGCTCCGGGAATCATTGCCAGAAAAAGGAACCGACGTGATTCGCGCGGTACGCTTCATGAAGATTATGGGCGTTCGAGAGTCGACTTACCTCCGCATTCCTTGCAGTCCAAGGACACGTGATTTTCGGACCAGGACACTCCACACCTAGAACAGAGCCAGAACTCAATTAGATTTTCCAATGACAGAGGAGCGATTACAGAAAAGCAAATCGCTGTGGGCGCAGAACGTGGTGGGCCTCGGCCACGGAGGCAGAACTCGAGCTCTCTGTCGAGTTCGATCGAGTCGCCTCCACACTTTTGGTTCAAGCTCGCCGTCGGTGATAATCTCGACGATTTTCCGTCATCCCCCGCGTTTTGACCTCAATTCGTGCTGACCGTTTTCTCTCTCGTTACGACGCATCGAAACCGAGAGCTAGGAGTAAATCCCTGACCAGACGAGCTCGTTATGCCCAAGCGAGCATAAAATGATATCGACGTCGGCGGCGTTTCAATCCGACGAATCTCCCAACAATCCCTCGCCGCTTGCATTGCTCAGCACTCGATGACCAGAGCTGTTGCTAGCATGGCGGATCCCTTTACGTTCTCACTGCGGCCACCCGAGCCGTCATAGAGGTTCCGTTTCTCCGGCCCCCGCAACGACGGAGACGAGTCTGGCCGGGATTAGTGCCGGATGTTTCCTCCGTAGTTCTCTGTCCCGGGAGCCCTCTCCATGTACATGCGTGAGCATTCGACGCGGAAGGAACTCAAGCAGGATCGTACTCGCTCATCGAGGGCGTGACAGAGACTCCGAAAGCGTTTTTTTTTCCGGCAGCCAGAAGAGGTTTCCTCACCTTTCCACTCTACGTCCGCACCGAAGCGTCGTCGTTATATTTCCAAGAACGCAGAGGAAACCTCACGAGCCGCATCGGAAAACCTGAGAATCTTTCTCGACTGGGGAGCCTGTGGAGATTGTTTTCTCTGGATAGGCGTTCGCTCGAGGAGAACTATCGAAACGAAAATTCGAGAAAGACGGCTCGCTGCACTCGGAGCAGCGAATTCTCGCACAGGACAACGGAATTCTAATCAAGTTGTGCCTACACGGCAAGAGCATCCATCGTTTCGGGGAACAGATCGCGCACAGCCCACATCGGCACCGAGATATCTCGCTCGGAGACTTCCTCTGGCTTGCCTGGCAATCGCTACTGTCGCTGTCGACAGCTACATATTATGCTTTGAAGTGAACATTCGGTCTCGCTAAGACGGATCTAGATCAAAGCGGCTCCAGATAGCCCGGAGCGACCGGCCTCACCGAACGCAAGTTCGTCGACCCAGATCAGATGCTCTCAAATGAGCTCTCGGGACTGACCCTGCCAGCAGCGAGGGGGCGATTGCGACTCGATCGGCGGCCGCTCCGCGCTCCAGCCGACAAAAAATGGAATCCAGGCGGAATGAAATTTAGATAACTCTCTCGCGCGCTCTTTCCTTCGTCATTTCTCGCAGCTCATAATTTAAGGTCGAGAGCGGATCACGAGAACGCTGCAGTATCTAAACCACGAGACTCCGGACCGTAAATGGCGCCATTGGAAAAGTTCGTCCGCTAACGGCTGGTGACGTGGATCGTAACGATCCACCAGTTCGCCGTCATGGGGGTCAATGAGACTTGCGCAGCTGTGCGTGGCCTGCTCATCGGCAACGAGCGCGCTTGTGTGTGGTGAGGTAGCGATTCGACAATATAGCCGGAGCAAGCAAGCAAGCCTTCACCGGCCTAATCGGTCTTCCGTTTGCTCTACAAGGGCGGACAATCGCGAGGACGCGATAAATTCGTCGTACTGCGTCGAGGTAGCAGCGGCGGCTGCTAATCAAAACACATCTAAAATCAAGAGCTCTTCTGTCACGGTCAAACGAGCCGCGTCAGCGACCTCTTTGAGGCCATCAGGCTCACTCAGTCCGACGACGACGACGGTCGCTGCGAAGCGGACGACGCGACGTCTACGATGTCGCACCAGCCATCGTCGCAATTTATTTATTTTCCCCCGTCGAGTTTTGATAGATGCGCCGCACGCGATTCACGCGCAGGCCATCGAACGCGTGTCCTTCGACAATACGATCAAACAACTCGGGTGAAAGAGTTCAAGTGAGTGCCCACGATCGCGCCAAGGTCAAAAGTCGTTGGCAGACCGACGATTTCGAGGACTTCCGGTCAGAGCACAAAGGTATGTATCGTTGCTTACGAGACAGGAAGGCATCGGCTTCGTTCCGAGCACCCTCGGCGGTTTGCCTTCCGGTTCGAACCTCGGTCTAATATTCGAGAAGTTCGGCCCTCGAGTTTCCATACGTTGCCCCGCCACCGCCGCGCATCCGGACGGGGTCGAAACGACACGGCTTGACCCGCCGGCCATCGGCCATATTGAAACCATCGAGATAGCTTCTTATCAGGTTATCGCGATGGTGTAGAACCGGAAAAATTCCTCCGTGGCGGAAAGAATTTCCTTACGACCCTTCAAAAACTCGCCGAGAATTCCATTCGCGTTGCTATACGGATTTGATGGCTGCGCTTATTATTCAAACGATCTCGAAGGTCGATGAGATCGCTCGAGCTCATAACCGAACGTAGATGTGTACGGAAGCCCAGCATGACCTTTATAATATCGCATAGTCCCGCCAAGATTCGAAGCGAACCTTGGCAAACCATCTGAGACCTCGGAAGGCCAACGCTCTCTCATGCGTCGGCAGGTAGGTAAATGTTCAGGGTGAGCCTAGGAAACATCTCGAAAGCTTTGCTCGGATCAAAAGACCAACAAGTCGCCACAGAACGTCTCGCTCGAATCATCTCGACCCGACGCTACTGTCAACGCTTCGCGGACCAAGCGAGCTCTTTACCATTGCGCAATTTCATGTGGGGAACCGTTGGCCGGCCCTGATTTACGACTGTCAGCGGTTGTATTGCTCGAGATGAACAGATAATCGCTCTCGAATCGTTCGGGTCATCGGAAAAGCCCGCTGGCACCCTCGGGCGGCCACCGACCGACCGACGTCGAGGCAAATGGAGGAACAAGTCGAGACAGACTGCTCAGGAGCAATCTGGGGTGGATACTCACGAGAAACAGGAGTTGTAGTCGTCCTTTATCTGTTCGATGGTGGGAGCGATGCTGATGTCGTCCTCGGCGATCTCGTCGTCGTCGCTGTCATCGTTGTCGTGCTGGGCGAATTCCTCATCGACAGAGTGACTCCCTTGATTGGGCAGGAATCTCTGATGGCCACAGCTTTGCAGCGACATCAGACGGCGCGCGATCGCCATCTGCTGAGAGCGCATCATGTCTCGGCTCGAAGGCGAAGTGAGCATGGGGTCCGACTTGCTGTGGCGCAGGATATCTGGAAGTAAACAGACTGACGTTGTTGACAGCTGCGATTTTCCGGCCGGCGGCGCCTGAGTAAATAATAATTGGCTACGGCGACAACTCGAGTTCAGGGTTCCCTACGCACGCGCAACCGATTTCAGGATTATTTCGTGACACGATGATGATATTCAGGGATTACGCGAGATGTCCTCGGATTTACCACGGAATTACTAAACGAGATAGCTCGTTTCTTCGATGAATCTAGAGCGACAGGTAGGTGCTGTATTTCTTTCCCGTCGAGCTCAGTCGTCTTCAGCGATCGACGATTTCAATCCGCCCTCGAACGAAATTGGTTCGGGAGAACGTCAACAGAAGAGAGCGACGAAAACGTTTTGTTTTCGAAAATTTCAGTCCCGGATGTCCCGCCGAAGTATATGTACGTCCGACTCCGACGACGGAGTACCGATAAGACACACCACTTTCTCCGGCTAGCACGCGGCGGCCTTAATATGTGTTCGCGGATCAAGGAACGAGAAAAAGCCGTCGGAAGTTATCGATGAACAGAGTAACGGAGCAGAGGAAACATCCGACCGAGCGAAGATCCACCCAAACAATAGCGGGTAGTCGTGTGCCCTCGTTCTTAGAAACTTCTCCGACATTGTCGGACGAAGCTCTGAAATCCAACGGCGGCTCGGCAGCGGAGCGTAAACCGATCAGCCGTCAAACCGATAGGCCGACTGACCGGTTATTCAGCTGATCGGACGGCGTCAGTCGGGAGTATTTCGATGGGTTGGGGATCGTTTCGTTTGACGAAAACGATACGAGCCATTTCGAAGTGGCTCCGATGATGACACCATTTAGTCGATAGGTCAGAGGAAACAAATGTCGTCGCAGCTTTGTACAGGAATGTTGATTGAATCTTTAAAGCATGAAGCTTTCGCGGAGCCACGGCTTCCACGAGATGCGGTTAAGCTTCTGTGAAAGATACTACGCGCCGGTGAAGACTGCTGGGACGCGTAGAAGAACGGATCGACGAAGCCGCGCGCCGTTGCCACCGGAAGCGGCGACGTACAGCGTGAACTCACAAGGAAGAACACTCATCCTTTCTGCATCAATTCATCGGGCCGCTCGCGTTGGCTGCGGATTCACATGAGATATCGTCGGGACGAGCAACTTAATCCGATTTGAAGTCATTCGATCACTCCGAGCCGCGGCCGCTTGGGTGCGAATGATAATTTTCTAATCGTCGAATCGAATCCATCAGGCGATCCGAACCGTGGATCTTCCTGCTTCGTGGGATATTCCCGACCGAGGGATCCGCGTTCACCTCGGGAGCATCGGGAGACAGACGTCGAGAAACGTCGACGGCTGACCCAGAAAGATGTAGGAGCATTATATTTTGGAAGACCGCTCCTCCAGGCAAACAACTTCGCACCAGGAACACCGCAATGGGCCGGGTCCGGAATCTACGGAAATTCCACTATTTCCTCAACCAGTGATTGTCTCGAATCGGGAGGTATTATTGTTGACAAGCAGTTTTTACGACGTCGATTCCATCTCGCTCTTAAATCTACATTTCTAGTGAATTCCGTCTCTATAGCTTCATTTTTGAGCTTGGAACAATCTCCGATCGATTCGGCTAGATCCGACGGAGAGGGTTCCGGTCCGATTCAGCAGGCGAGCCGGACGGACCGCCTTGGCACAAAAAAACGCAACTGCACTCTAATTCGGTCGGATAGATGTCGGCAGATGACTAGCCGGTCAGGAACCGTCAGAAAAAAACTTATAGTCGAAGCCGGATGTCTGCTGCCACTTCGATTGTCCGTTTTTTTCTTTTGTGCTTTACTATGTTCCCGACCACGATGGACGACGTCACAAGAAATAATTTTCAGGGCCTCAGAGAAATGTCAATAGACATATCATGATAAGAGCATCCCAATCTGGGCGTCGTTGGTTGTACGCTTCTTTTCGCGGACATCCGCGGCGGAACCATGTTCGGTTTCTATTTTCGCGATATCTCCTGGACGGAAGTTCCATTCTCGCCGATAAGGTTCCTAATTGGCGGACATCCATCCAGAGCCAAGAGGCCTGAGCCGAACGGACAACAGACGGCCCTTATCGCAACGCGGACTCCTCATGCACAAGCGTACGATGTGTCAAGCGAACTTACCGCCGCCGAGGGGGACGGAGCACATTGAGAGCATTTCGGGTGTATCACTCACGTCGGTTCAATATAAACTGTAGAGAGCGTTATTCGGAGCGACTCTGTTTAGCAGGAACACAGAATTTGCTTCGTGGCTAGCCGACTTCGGTGTGCAACTTGCCGGTGACACAGCTTGCTTAGACAGTCGCGCGTGCTTTCCAGTGCTGTCTTTTACAAGCATTGACTCTCGCTCTCATCACCGAGACCTACCCTCGCCCTATCCTACGTCACCGGTGACGAGAGCAGACCGGCGCGGCGGCCGCCGCGACGGCGCACTCATCCGCCGTGCGTAGGAGTTGCAACCTCCATGGAGAGGCTCACTCAACCCCCTGCCAAGTAGTTGCTGAACCCCTCTCCTGAGCTGGCTGGCTGACGCGCTGGCCGGCTACCACCTGTCTGCCTCCTCGTCTACCACGCCAGCTGCCCAGTCGGCTCGAGCCGTAGTTCATCTGACCCGGATCGCGACAAGTGTGTCGAACCAAACACACATTCGGAAGCTGTTCAATGATGTCTACATGGAGCGATGGCTATCCGGGGACGGAAGTCTGACAGACTCGAGCTCCGACCATTGATAATAATAATAATGGGCTCTTGAGACAACGGCGCGGCAGCGGATAATAATCCAATGAGAAATTATTTTCGGTCCTCGACTTTTTTATTTATGGATCGAAACGCATCAATGAATACTCGCTAGAGGTGCGGACAGGAGGATGTAGCTAAGAATATCCGTCTGCATACCAGACATGCTCGCCGACAACTTCAAAGTTCAATTTGGCTGCGCAGGCTACGTGAATAGAAACCGAAGCGTAGAGTTGCCCCGCAGCGAGGCGGGAGAATTAGGGCCGGAATCCTCGATATTGGATGGCGCTTCTCTGCTCAAACCTAGACGTGTCCTTCGGTGAAATGTCGTCAGAGGCGACCGGCTCCGGGCATAGGCAAGAATTATCTCGCCGATCGAGCGCGACGTTTCAGCGAACATTGAGCCCCCAGCTGACATTTCACCGTTTTCAGTCCACGGTCGGAATTTCTGACTGAGCCCGAGCGTTCCTAGACGAGCAGATCCTCGTTTAATGTCACTCATGAGCTTGAGCCGATGGAACAACGGAGCGATGGGCACGTACGTATACGCAGAGCAGGAACAAGTCCGGAGATTAAGGGATTATTAGGCCTAATAACATCGGTCTATACGAAAGATTTACGTACAAATTCCTGGTGAGGCGGTAGAACGATGAGATAATAAGCCATTAGAACTCATCGGTGGTTCAATGCTCGCATGGATCGGATAATTCGGGTGGTAGAGCGAGGGAATGAAAAGAATTGAATGCCGCAGTGTGAATGATCCGGGAAACCGAATCCGACGGCTGTTAGCGATGCTTCCGTGAAATCCGAGTCCGAGCTTGCTCGATAGAATCGATAGACCGCTAGTTCATTGGAGGGCATGCGATGAGTTTCGCAGCAACGCTCGACACCGGCTCCGCAATCTCCCGTAGTCGGAGACGATTAGAGATTCTAGATGATACCGATAATAATTCAACTCGATTCAGCACCGATAAGCCTGGCGGTGTGCGAGAAGCGAGAGAACTTCTCAAAAGATGCGACGTCGTCGGCGAGCGATTCTCATTCTCGCGCGATCGTTCGCTGGCGTCATAGTCTGCAGTGTGCGCATTCGTCCGCCTTATGAGAGCGTGCTCAGTCTTATCGAACGGACTCACAGATATTCGGCGCAGCGGTTTGCGATATCTCGCGACCAGACGGTACGCACGAGGGGGGCAGACCGAAAATTCTAGAATCGGAGTTCTTCGCAGACCCGATAAGATCGGCGAAGGTAGGTCACACTCGCAGCTCGTCCCGGAGGAGAACTCGGCGGAGAGCGCGATACAGTTATCGTTTCAGATTATTTGCGTCAGATGCGTCCTATTCCACGAAAGTATTTTCGATTTAATTTTTCCCTCTGTGGGGGTCGCGGCCTCCTGGCTCTGAACAAATCAGGGAGTCGTGAGCAATATGGGAGATAGAAGATTTTTCTTCCACCGACGCCGGGGAAAAGAGGGGAAACAGACTCAGTTCGATGGGAGGAAATCGAGGAATGTTCAGGGTAGGTATACTGAGCTGTGTTCGCACGATGAACGCTCGTCATCGCGATGACCGAAAAACTGGGACGTTGCTCCCGGGGAACGGTCTGCGGGCGCCGGACGCCGATTTTCGCAGGGGAGCGATTTACAACAACTGCTTTGAATACCGCTGCTGAACAGGCCTTAATCTCGTTTTGATTATCAAACGTTTATGACAGCTCGACGATCGCTCTCATGACTCTCGAAATGAGCATCTGTTGCATGTCGTCAGCTGACAGCCCTGACAAAGCGACGAGAACCGACACGGACATCGATCGACCACGCATAAGACGTCCGAATTGGAAAACGGCGAAAGGAATCAGCGTCGACGGCGAGTGGGACCTAACTGTTCAATCAATGTACTCTCGACCAATCCGTCATTGACGTGTTCGCCATCCACAGAAACAGCCGCAGCTATTCTAAATTTGGAACCGCGCTGATCATCGGTGACGATACCGTCACAGATATCGTCATTATCACGGTCAGAGGTGGTTGGTCGAAAACGGGGACGCTTTCTCTCCCGAGGGATGGAACCTTCGATGGGGGATCGTGACATATGTTTTCACAACACGTGACGCTCCCGATCGACTGTACATGAGCCCGTCCGTCCATCCGTCCGACCTACTGTTCCCATGAGTTCCGCGAGTTCGCGCGTATCAGCTGAGAGGGCATGGGGCGGTTGACCTATCGGTGCCGAAAGACACCGTCATGCTACCTCTT